CACTCGTGTTTTGTTCTAGAAACAGCGTCCTTAAATTTATACGTCTCTGACGGACTTAACTTTTTTATTGTTGATAAAACTTCCTGTTTCCATCTTCTGGAAATCAACTAGAATTTTTAATTAATTAATGAGCGGGCTAAAAGGGTAAAGACAGCACTTCTCTTTTGGCTTTTGTTCTGAATACATTTTAATTATTTTAAATCTAAACGCAGCAAACCACAGATTTAATTTAATGCATTTATAAAAAATATAACCTGACCTAAAAAAAACAGAAGACAGAAAAATACGTCGAGCTTCGGCTTTTTTTAATGCTCGTAAATAAATTTAACTGGGAAAGGCCCTTAAGATGAACAAATTCTTTATTTTTAGATAAAATAACGAGGTTAATAAAATAATCTGTGCGAGGCTGTAAACGTTCAGGTCACTGTTTGGAGATAAATCAGTTTCAAAAGTAGTCGTGCACACGTACAAGATGTGTATGCGTACAAAAAGACCCACCATCACAAAAACACTGAGTAGAAACGTTGTAACGCTCACATGTCCCACCTTTTCACCGGCCTTGAACGCAGCGTGAATCTGGAGTGCTAAGAAAGGCTCAAAAGTCGCATTCTTATTCAAGCTGATCCGGGCACAGCAGGTGATTAGTGCACATGCATATGACTTTTTGTACATGCAGAATACTCGGTTACTTGTAAGATCAGACTTTCTCTCACAGAGTTGCACGTATCATCACTGAAGCCGGTCGTGAGTGTGCACCGGACAGTGCACGAGAATAGTTTACACAACACTCATCAGCACTCACAGCTCACAGACAGTCCACGATGACCTCAGCCTCCCAGCTGCACATGCAGGATCAGCTCCTCTCAGAGAGAAAAGAGCTCTCTGAAGTCACACATTAATTTAACATTAGATTAACATTAATTTAACATTAATTTAACATTAATTTAACATTAGTTTGTGATAAAAATCCCCTGACATGCTGCTGACTGTGCAGTTTGAAACTAGTTCATTTAAAAACTGTTTCTTCGTTTCTGCCATGTTCGTATCAGCTCTGGCTACTTTTGAGACCAGTTTATGTTCATGCCCTTTAATGGCGGCTGAAGGACGTAATATTTGGATACAAATCAGATAAAACCTGCAGAACCGAGAGCTCAGAGGGGTTCAGAGTAATAATTATAACTAAAATTAACATACCAATGTTTTAAAATAAGAACTGACCTGTTTAACGATAAAAAAGAATCAAAGATTGTGAAAGTTATTAAATTATGTTAATTGATGAGTTTATGTCTTTTGTTTCAAACTGAACCCGTTGGGGCTCCTCCGACTTTAGCTGGCTCTTCTATGGACTAGCAGCCGAAGCAGCTAAAACCAGAGACGATATGAAAAAGGTTCGGTTGGTTCTGGCTGCAGCCCGGACCCTCCTGCTCTTGTTTATGTCCACCTCGGTTTGTTTTCTACTCGCAGGTGCCGAACCACGAGCCGACCTCGGTACTTCCTGTCTGCACGGTGAAACCACGCCCTCCGAGGCACGCTTTCTTAAAAAAAAAAAATAATTTGTAAGTTTGTAGCTGTAAAAATATGAAGATTATTAAGAAAGCTGCGTGGTTTAAAACTTTTTATAACTCTGGCTTGTTGTTGAACCAAATATTTGACTTCCAGGTTGAAATAATGAGCCGAAGGTTTGTGTGAACTGGTACGTTTAGATGGTTTTAAAAGCCGAAGCACAAGTTTGGAGTTTGTTTTGTTTGAGGAACTGAGCCACGGCGAGAAGTTTAGAGGCGATCCAACGGGCGCATCTCCACTCCCTCGACGTCGTCACAAACTGTTTTCAAACAACGGCTCGATTTAAATTCCACGTTTTGCAACAAATATGGTAAAAAAAAAATTAGATTAATTTTTGACGGAGAAAAATATTCTCACTTAAAGGAGCCAACTCGACAGCAGGAGATCTTTAACCGGTTTTACTTCGGGGCAGGGCAGCCGACTCGGGACCCGAAGATCCCAGGTTTGATCCCCAGCCATTCCCACATGTCCCCAATTGCTCCCCGGGTGCTTAAATATCTGTCCACTGCTCCACCTGGGTGTAGCTCAAGTGTGATGGGTTGAGAACTAGTTTCACCATTTGTATGGAAACATACAATGAGGACAACACACAGCAATTATTTAACATGCAAGCACAGATTTTCAGGACAAGTTATACACATACAGGAAGTACACACATACAAGAAGTACACATATACAGGAAGTACACACATACAGGAAGCACACATATACAGGAAGTACACATATACAAGAAGCACACATATACAGGAAGTATGCACATACAGGAAGTACACACATATACAGGACGTACACACATATACAG